CAGTAAAGAAAAAACGAAAAGAATCCGTCGGTGTAGGGGGGTGTGCGTGCGTATGTGAAGAATGAGAAGAGATCAAAGAGAGAGGAAGTGATAGATTGAGTGAGAGTATAAAAGTGGTTAGCGGTTGCAATAAAGCATTCCTCTCCCTGGATCTTGTGGAACACAGAAGCACAAAGCGCCTTCTAGAGAAGGAACAGCTATCCTCAAGAGAGGCTCTGGAGCAGGCGGAAGCCTTCGAGCGTGTAGGTGTGAACGCTCCACACCTGAAGGAAGGCCCGCCGCAAGCCCAGCTGGTGGGAGTAGGTCAGGTAAGAACCCGGAAAGATGAGCGTAATCGGCAGGTGCCATGGCGCGCGCAAACGAGGGAACAAAAGGGAAGGCCGAGCAAGGGCCCAGCTCGGAAAAGTATGAGATGCAGGGTTTGCGGAGCGCTTGGCCATGCCGGTTACGAGTGTTTCAGGAAAGAGAAGGCATACTGCAATGTATGCAGGAAGAGAGGCCACCTGGCAGTGACGTGCTGGAAGAACGCCAGGGTTGGCCAGAAAGTCTCCCGCCAAATACACTGGTGTGAGGAGCCCGCTGGAAGCTCCGACAGTGGAGAGGAACTAGTGATTCAGAGCGTGAACAAGGTAGTTGTGTCACGACTTACCCACTGTCGTAGAGCTGAGCCGCGGAAATTGATGCGGAGCAGTGCGAGGCGAGAGGAGGATAGCCTGGAAACTGAAGTGGCAGTTCCACCGCACTAAGGAAGATAGGCACATTAAATGTGGAGTGCCGGGATAGAGCGCTGATAGCCGCTGATACGGTCGGAGATGTTGAAGTAGACCGGTCGTCGGGGAGCCACCGAGAATGCTGGAGATGGAAGTGAATGGGAAGAAGATCCCATTCGAACTAGATACCGGTGCATCCTTTCCATTATCGATGAGAAGACATGGAATAAGCTAGGCCGGCCACAGTTGAACAAGGCTGCGGTGGCTGCGACGGCATTTGATAATAATCGTATTAAGTTCCAAGGAAGAGTCCCACTAAACGTTAAGTTCGCCGGGAAAGAGGCGATAGTGGATGTTCATGTCTTCAAGGAGGCGACGCACTCCTTATGTGGACGAGACATGATAAGAGAATTGCAGATAGATTGTGGACCACATTATGGGATGGTACACAAGGTCGAACAAATGTCCAATGTACAAATCAAAAGAGAAATTGTGCGTATACTGGATAACAACAAGAAGTTGTTTCAAGATGGTTTGGGCAAGTGCACGACTGCACGAGCAGAGTTGAAGTTCAAAAATGATGCAGTAGTGCCTAAGTTCTTCAGAGCTAGGCCAATACCCATTGCGTTGAGGCCCAAAGTGGAGGCAAAGTTGGAAGAAATGGTGCGGAATGGAACAATAAGAAGAGTGGAGCATAGCAAATGGGCCACGCCGCTAGTGGTTGTGCCCAAACCAGGCGGAAAAATAAGAATATGCGGCGACTATAAGGTCACAGTAAATCCGCAGCTGGATATTAATCAGTACCCGTTGCCTAAGCCAGATGATTTGTTTCACATGTTGCATGGCGGCAAGAAGTTCTCGAAAGTTGATCTTTCAGATGCTTATATGCAAGTTGAGCTGGAAGAGAGCTCAAGGAAGTATACGACGATCAATACGCATAAGGGATTATTTGAGTATACGCGAATCCCTTTTGGAATTGCGTCAGCACCAGCAATATTCCAGCGGATAATGGAGGAGACGCTGGTAGGAATCGAAGGGGTGCTGATTTATCTGGACGATATTACAGTTACAGGTCCAGATGATAAGACGCATTTGGAAAGACTAGAAAAAGTCTTGAATAGATTAAATGAGGCAGGATTTCGCCTCAAAAGGGAAAAATGCGAGTTTTTCAAGGAGGAGATGGAGTTTTTAGGCCATGTGGTCGATGAGAAGGGCATTAGGCCATCTCCGAATAAACTAAAGGCGATACTGAACATGCCAGAGCCTAGGAATATAAAAGAGTTGGAGTCTTACCTAGGCATGATACAATACTATGGGAAATTTATCCCTCGATTAGCTACGTTGGCGGCGCCGTTGAACAGTTTGCGCAGGAAAGGTGCACCGTGGAAATGGGGTGCCGAAGAGAAAAAAGCTTTCACAAAGATACGTGAAAAGCTTACAGCAACGGAGACATTAGCGCATTATAATCCGGATGTTCCGGTAGTATTAGCTACCGATGCCTCAGAATATGGTATAGGAGCAGTATTATACCATAGATATGATGATAAACCGAGAAAGTAATTGCGTACGCATCACGTTCCTTGACGAAACAGGAACGAATTACGCCCAAATAGAGAAAGGAGGCGTTGGGAATAGTATATGGAGTTGAAAAATTTAATCAGTTCCTTTATGGTCGACGGTTTACGCTGTTAACCGATCACCAACCGTTAGTGAGGATCTTTGGCCCCAAACAGGGTCTACCAGTGATAGCAGCGAAAAGGCTGCATAGATGGGCATTGAGGCTCATGCTATACTCTTTCGAGATAGAGTATAGGAAGACTACAGAGTTTGGCAACGCAGACGGATTATCTAGGTTGCCTGACCCAAGAGAACTTGCCTAGCGCAGAAATGGTGGTCAATGAAGTGCAGGAAGAGATTATGGCGGTGGAAACGATGGAAAACCTGCCTGTAACAGAAGCTGAGATAGCTAAGGCTACAAAAGGCAGATCCTCTGTTGCATTTGGTGATAAATTATATTCGGAAGGGTTGGCCGGAAAAAGTCACAGATGACAGGTTAAAGCCGTATGCGGTGAAGAAGACCGCACTGACAGTGCATAATGGTTGCATACTGTGGGGATATAGGGTAGTTATCCCCAAGAAATTTCAGCAAACAGTGCTGAGGATGTTACATAGTAGTCACTATGGACGGAACAGAATGATTAGTTTGGCCCGAACCAAGATATGGTTCCCGGGCATAGATAGAGCGGTAGAAGACGTGGTCAAGAAATGTAGAACTTGTGCAGTTATGGGCAAAGATCCGGTCAGAATACCCTTGCATCCGTGGGAAGAACCACAGAAAGTCTGGCAGAGGCTGCACATAGATTTTTGTGAGACGAGCGGTGGAGTAAAATGGCTGGTGGTGGTGGATGCAAAATCTAAGTGGCCGGAGGGGTCAAGATGGGGGCCACCACAGCGCATAAAACAATACTAAAGCTGAAAGGAGATATTCAGTAGGAATGGGCTACCCGAACAGTTGGTTTCAGACAACGAGCCTCCGTTTACTTCGGCAGAGTTCCGGGAATACTGTGGAGACAGGGGGATCCAGCAAGTATTTACGCCGCCTTATCACCCTAATTCGAATGGGGAAGCGGAGCGTTTTGTTCAGACGTTCAAAAATACCTTGTATAAGGGATTGCGTTCCCATAAAACGTTAGAAAACGCAGTATTTGACTTGCTCTTCGAGTATAGGGTAACGCCCCATGCGGCGACGGGGAAGGCACCGGCAGAAGTGCTTATGGGGCGAGTATTGCGAACGACCCTGGATATAATAAGAACGGAAAAGGGGAAATTGCCCACGAACAAGTATCAAGAGGGAATAAAAAGAAGTTATGATCAAGGAAAAAGAGAAAGAACTTTTGTAGTAGGACAAGAAGTCTTCATAAGGAATTATACCGGGTCGAGAGACCGATGGATACCCGGTATTGTGGTTATAGTTCTAGAGTCAAGTGTATATGAGGTTCATTTCGGCATGGGGGTAAGGAAAACCCATGCTGACCAAATGAAGTCTAGGGTGATCCCGTGGGAAACGGCGGAGGAAGACCTTCTAAGAAAAATAGAGAATAGAGCTCCTGTAAAAAGCCAAAGAGGTACTGAAGAGATAAACTTACGTCGGTCTAAGCGGAAGCGGCAGGAGACCGCTAGGATGAGAGATTATCGAGAAAATGGGAAGCGGAGAAAGATTAGTTGGATAGGGATAGTGAAAGAGGAAGGCGAAAACAAAAACAAAAGATATGGCGAGAGGCCTTATAAAAGGGGCTGGAAGGAGTATGGAGTTCAGTTATGTACGCCCTGCCACAGCAGCAGCAACCGCCACAGCAGCAAGCACTTCTCGTCGGGGGGGCGGGGCAATGGGCCCCGCAAGCGAGCCCCCCAGTCCTGGTCGTCCCTGTTGGGACAGGAGGAGCCGCGACGGGGCCGCCCCCGGTGCCGACTATGGTACCTGTGGTGCTGGCCCCGCCGGGGCAGCAGCAGAGGCCGCGTCGCCGCCCACAGCGGCGAAATCGCGCGCTGTGGGCGGCCCTGCAGAACATTCCGCATGGACCTTAGAAGAGTCGAAGCCGCCGACAGGCCGTCAAGAGGCCGGACCCGATCAAGGAGCAGATCGAGATCCAGTCGAAGAGATGCT